CAGTGCTAATAATTGCTTTCAAAACCCCAACCTGACATTTGGCTTTGCTACTCTCTATGGTGAACAACCTTGTGATACATTACATTCTATCTGAAGTCCAGGCTACATTAAGCCACACTGCACAAAGTAGGCTTGTTGGGGTTCTTCAATTTTATTTGTATAGCACTTTTAACAATGTACATTGACTCAAAGCAGCTTCATAAAGATATATAAATTCAAGATATGTTTTAAATTTATAAATTTATCCTTTACGTTTGTAAATTCTTTGCATGAATCTGAGAAATCAGTGTCCCTTAATACGCTTAGGATTCCTGATTATTCAGCTGTCAGACTCCCTCTCTTGCTCCCTAAGCACCAGCAACATCCTCAGAAAGGTGCAACAACATCTGTTCTTTCTGAGGAGACTTAAGAGCTTTGGGATGAACACAGCAACCAACCTTTACCAATGCACAATAGAAAAAGTGTCCTGATTGGTTGCATAACGCTGTGGTTTTGCAATCTGAGTGCAGACGACCAAAAAGTCACTGAGAACTGCATCAGAAACCATCTGCATGGACCTCCCTCAACTCCGTCAGATCTACTTATCCAGTTGCAGGATGAAAGCCCAGGCTACAATAATCATGGCTTCCTCTCACTCAGCTCATGCCCTGTAAACAGTCCTGGAGCTTTAGAAGCATCAGGACAGCTTCTTCCCTCAGACCATAAAGATCCATAAGTGCTATCTGACGCTGGCTTTTCCGACCCGACTACACCTAATCTCGCTATGTAACCTGTAATTACACGTGGCATCCTTCTCATTCTTGTACATTTTGCACTGTGCTACTTGCATCTTTTTGCACTGTTCTACGATGTGTATTATCAACCTGATACGTCTGTACCACTCCTTGCATTACATTGTACATTTTATATCATATTATGCAATTTGCACTATTTATACTTTGACAAGTTTTACAACTGACAATGTCAGGGTTTCTGAATTTAAATCCTTTAGTATCAGTATATATCTGTACCTGTACCAGTTTATTATTTGACTCTTTCAGTAATCCAGTGTGCTCTGCTCACGTGAGTTTGAATCCCATCCTTGCCGAAAATTGCATGCTTTAAAGCACAATCATAACTTCTGGTGCTCTTAAGTGTGCAAAGTTGTATTATGTTACATGGTATTTGAATTTCAAACATGAAGGAGATGCTGATAATTACTAAGGAGAAGGAATGAGTGTTAACTCATATGAAGATGGGTTCTCTGTTGAGTCTGGTTCCTCTCAAGGTTTCTTCCTATCACCATCTCAGGGAGTTTTTCCTTGCCACCGTCGCCCTGCTTGCTCATCAGAGACGTCACACACACACACTTCTCTTTACTTTTGTTTGTGTAAAGCTGCTTTGAGACAATGACCTTTGTAAAAAAAAAAAAAAAGCGCTATACAAATAAAAATGAATTGAATTGAATTGAACTCATGCAGCTATCAGATGAAGTGACCGAGTGGTTGTCAAAGTTACAACCTCTGACCTTTCCAACTCTCAGTGCCTAAATCCAAAATCCTACCTCAAAGCTGTTAATGTGCCTTACTTTAAAAGTTACATATGTAATTCAAACATTATAGCAAAATATTGTTGGACATGGCAGGTCTACTAGTAGGTCTACTAATTTGACATTTAGTCTTTTTGCTTTTTGGCATCACATTTTTATTGTTCAGAAGCCAGAAGTTCCTAAAACAGAATTTCTGAGGAGGATGGGATTCAAACTCACACCTGCACAGTTTGAATTCCACTTTAAACAGAAACTCAAGGAGCAGAAAGTGTATCAGTGGAACAAACACAACTGGGCTTTGTTGTGGGATAACAATTTATAGATCAGTTTTACAGTTTAATGAGCTTTATTAATATATTTTTTAAGTTTATACAATATCTTTTGTTTGTTTATATGTGTGTATGTGTGTATGAAGTACTAGGTTACTAGTATAGGAGCAGCACTTGGGTACTAGTACTACTACTGCTAAGGTGTTGTTTTTTTTTATTGAGAAAGTCTGTACTGAAAAGTACTAAAATGTTAAAGCATCCGGGATTTATTGATTGATTGACTGACTGACTGATTGATTGATTTAGACTCTTTCGGTCCACCTTAAATCGCTGCTGAAGTAGCAATGTCTCTCCAGTAGATGGCGATATTTACTAGTGTCCACCAGTGAGGGCTACATTCACGAGGACAAGGTGGTCGAGTGGTTAAGGCGATGGACTGCTAATCCATTGTGTTCTGCACACGTGGGTTCGAATCCCATCCTCGTCGAAAATGGCAGAAGAGAGTAGTTTTGTTGGGGCATCACATTGAAAATCAATTTGTTTCACAGTTTAATGAGCTTTATTACCTTAGTTTATAAGATATTTGTGTGTGTGTGTGTGTGTGTGTGTATGTGTTTCTGAAGCACCTAAAGAATTGTGCACACAATACTAGCAGAGAGTGTATTAACAATGAAACAAAACAAACTAACAAAGTAGGATATATGTGAGGTATATGACAATTATCTACAGGATTGATTATTATTGAGAGAATCAATATTGTCATATTTGATAATCACAAATGTCTCTCCAGATTAGGTAAATTTATCTGGAAAACCCACCCAAGAGGTGAACTTTTTAAGTATGCAATTGCACAGCCTCATCTTGTTGAGCCTAACATGGCTTATGCATTGTGAATTGCTGCCATGTCAGCTTTTATCTCTTCATAATGACCAAGAGTACAGATTCCAACAAGGATGGGAGTCAAACTCATACGTGGGGAGAACAGAGTAGTAATCCAATGCCTTAACCACTCAGCCACCTCATCTTATACAAATGTACTGAATTAATATTTACACATTTTAATTAATCCATTTATGGGCGACACTTGAACATCAATTCAAGGTGGAATGAATTAGTACAGGAGTACTAGGGTGCTTGTATAGGAGAAGTACTAGGGTAATAGTATAAGAGACGTTCTAGGGTACTAATATAAGAGTATAGGAGAAGTACTAGTATAGGAGTATAGGAGAAGTACTAGGGTACTAGTATATGAGTACTAGTATTTATATAAACTATATTTATAAATATATTGTATATAATTTCTCATCATTACTATACTCTCTACCTGGCTGCTACACCAATAACTGCTATGTTCATATATGGTATAAGCTTATCTGCTGAATACTGTGTCATAGTATGTTATGTATACATTCGCAGCATTTTTATGTTGTTATTCTTTTGCACTACCTGTAATATCTGACACATTCACTCTAGAAGTGTGTACTGGTCGGTGCTACACTGTCTCTTACTGTGCCTATTGTCCTGTTTTAGTACTTATTGTACTGACTTGTGTTGTTGGCACATGTTTTCTCATGCACTTTATATAGTAATGTGTAGTCTCATGTAGTTCTGTGTTGTTTTATGTAGCACCATGGTCCTGGAGGAACGATGTTTTATTTCACTGTGAACTGTTTGGTTGGAATGACAATACAACCACTTGACTTGACTTGCAGTACTAGGGTGCTAGTATAAGAGTATAGGAGAAGTATTAGGGTACTAGTATAGGAGCAACACTAGTGTTCTAGTACTACTACTACTACTACTACTTTGTGCAGTGTGGCTTAATGTAGCCTGGACTTCAGATAGAATGTAATGTATCACAAGGTTGTTCACCATAGAGAGTAGCAAAGCCAAATGTCAGGTTGGAGTTTTGAAAGCAATTAGTAGCACTGATTTCTCAGATTGATGCAGAGATCAACAGCGATCTGAAGTCTGGTATTCTGATGTAAGCAGGAAAGTCGTAATGTAAGTTTAAAACATGACTCCCGACAAGGATGGGATTCGAACCCACACATGTAGAGCACAATGGATGAGCAGGCCATCGCCTTAACCACTCGGCCACCTCGTCCACATGAGTAGATGCTCACACATGAAGTCTAGTAAATATCGCCATCTACTGGAGCGGCATTGCTACTTCAGCAGCATTTGAAGGTGGACTGAAAGATTCGGTCCACCTTAAAACGCTGCTGAAGTAGCAATGTCTCTCCAGCAGGTGGTGCGTGAACATCACTAATAAGAGGACGAGGTGGCCGAGTGGTTAAGGCGATGGACTGCTAATCCATTGTGCTCTGCACGCGTGGGTTCGAATCTTATCCTCGTTGAGAGCCACGTTTTAAACTTAAATTACCACTTGGATGACTTTCCTACTTACATTACATCAGAATACCAGACTTCACAAAGCTGCTTTCAGATCGCTGTTGATCTCTGCATCAATCTGAGAAATCAGTGTTAATCAGTATCTTTCCTGTACACGCTAAAATACTCAGGGGACTCCAGGACAAGGGTTGGGAACTTGTATAGTAGGGGACATGTTCAGTTAAGAGGATAAACGGAAATAAATATATATCTTAATAAACGTCTTCTTAATGAAGAAACAATTACATTAATGCAGGGATTCTGGGTTTTTTTTTTTTTTTTTTAGCAAATCATGTTTGTAGTGTCTTTCTGATTTAAAAGTGATTTAAATAACTTAAATTAATTCACTGAACAGAGCCGTCCTTCATTAGCAAACATGATTCAGTCAACGTTTGGGAATCTGGAAACTCTTTGATCTGACTCACAGCCAATCAGAGCGCAGGAGGAGGGTTACGTAACACAGACGAGGCGTGAGTTCGTGTTGTTGCCGGAGCGCCATGTTCGCGTAAACAAAAGAAATCATTTCCACACACCTGTACAGCTGTGCGCTTTCACACACCAACCGAGCACCACAGGACACAAAAACAAAACAACAGCCATTTAATGTGGAGCGAAAGAGTTATTAACTACTAGAGTGCTTGTATAGGAGAAGTATTAGGGAACTAGTATAGCTGTATAGAAACAGCACTATGGTACTAGCACTACTACTGCTCCAGGGCTACGTTTTTTTTTATTGAGAAAGTCTGTACTGAAATGTACTAAAATGTTAAAGCATCTGTGATTCAGCTAACTTTTTGTTTCATTTATTTTTCGACTCTTCCGGTTCACCTTAAAACGCTGCTGAAGTAGCAATGTCTCTCCAGTAGATGGCGATATTTACTAGACTCCACCAGTGAGCGCTACAGTCATGAGGACGAGGTGACCGACCTTAAAACACTGCGGACTGCCAGACTGTTCCTAACAGTTTCTAACAAGTCGTAACACATTCTAAATAATTCCTAACAA